TGAAATTCGTTGAGTCAATCGGCAATTGAAAAAAAGAAAGAAAGAAAGAAAGAAAATCCATTTATTTTGCTACGACACACAACAAGAATTTAGAAACACCGAAAAAAGCCCATGGTACGTCGCAACGCAAAAGGCTGGAGCTCAGCTTAATACCGTGGACCGGGCACAGAGGCTCGAGCCCACGGCGCTGATTTTCAGCACCAGCCCGTTATAATACGTACTAGTTAAACATCTACACTAACGCTGCTCGGAGTACAGCATGGTGTATAATATAGTAAATTAAACTGTCAAACACCAAGCGGTCACCGGTGACCGCAACCTATTGTTCTATAATTGTGTCTACAAAACCGGTACTCGACGAGTTAATATAAAAGTGAAAACAAAATCAATGGCTACGATTACTGCCAAAAATCTAAATAAATGGATAAAAAATAAATAATTAAAATAATAACAAGAATAACAATACATTATGCATACATATTAATAACAATAGCACATATTGAAAATAAATATAATTACATTCAAAAACAATAATATAATTATGTTTTGCAGACAGTCTAACATACTGAGTCCACCATCAGGTGATACGTCTGTTCGATTACCGGCTTATGCCATAAAAACGGTTTTATTTAGCTTACCCCGCTCGTTTGTTTGTGTATAACATCACACTACGATCAATAGAAGCCGAGCAACGGGTGTAGCCAGAATAATTATACTTTTTTCAATTTGAACTCACCCATTGGATCCAGGAGAAATGCCACCCTTGACAACCATTTTGCGACCGAGAGACATACCCCCAGAGATGGAATTCGTGAATGGTACTCTCTGGAAACAGAAATAGATTTAAATTTAAATAAAACAAGCCTTTATGCACCTACACTAAACGTGTGTACAAAATATCAGCTCAATCAGTTGCAAGATATCACTTCACACACACACACATACATACATTGCAAGTCAAATAAGAGCTTTTAATATTGGTATGTAGCTAACAGTCCATAGCTGGACTACGATAATGGGCCGTTTTAGACTACGCCGGGGCCCTTTGGGCACACAATAATTCGGGGCCCTTGCGTAATGTTTTTTTTACCGTTGCACCGCACTAGAATTTTCTCCTGTATCGTGGGTGCATTTACAAACATACAAGTTCACTTATACATGACACCAGCAACAATTTGTTAATCACACAAAGATTCGAACGGGAATCAAACGAAAAGCTAGAGAATATCATGAAATGATCTCATTTTAATGATGTGGGCGACTCAATGTGACGATAATTTCACGATTTTGTAACTCGTATTTGACCAAATCGTTGAAGGTCCAGTAACGGCATCGCCCCAATCCAGCTATTAACTTGTCAATTAGAACATTAAGCGCCGATTTTCAACCATCAGTTAACTCGTAACTGTAGAAGAAAATTGACATTTGACAGTTTTTAGTATGTAATGATTTTTTTTAAGAATTGTCAAATATTCAAAGTTATTCCTCTCTGGCGTTGAAAAAATCGGCTCTTAATCATATACCGGAGGCCCAATACCTTTAACAAAAAAATATAGAATAGAATAATGTAAAACACACTCACCGGATTGGTGATTGCAGCCATTATAACTTCGATATTATTTCTTGATCTCACAAATTAATTGACGATTGGTTTCCAACACCCGTCAGGTTCAACTGTCGAGTAACGAATGCTCTGTACCCCCAAACAATCCCTCTTTTATACTTGACTTCAATTGATTCCTGGACATTCCACCTCCGAAATATACGTCAGCTAAAATCTAGATCATTCTTTGCAGCTGGGAATTCCCTAAATGTCTATTATGAAATTGTGCCGAAACAGGATGCCGACTCAGACACAATTGGGATGATGCCGCGCCGGGGTGTGAGTATGACAATAAAATCTGTTCACTCCGTCAATTTAGATGTTGGAAAATATTAGATTAAGATACGTATTTTTTTATTTAGTCGGTCGTATTTATAATAAAACAAGTCTTTGTGTTGGATACTTCTTTAGTCAAGGAAGGCTTTTTATTTAAGGGAGGAAAATCATCGAATGACTGCTCCCGCCTAATTCTATTCCTAACTGCATTTTAAGTACAAATAAATTATACATTTTTATAAGTATTTTATCTACTCCAACAGTCCTACAGGATAGCAACCCGGATGAGTCCAGTTTGCTAGATTAGACAAGCGACTAGGCTCATCCCCTATTACATGGGATAAATATCAAAACATAAATAGTGATTAATTAAACGCAGTTTTTTATTTCAACTATAGGTATGTTTTTGCGTATCTGATGAGCTTGATAAGGCAGTTAGTTAGGTGTCATAGGATTTTTTTGTTTTTTTTTTAAGGGGGGAAAATCATCGAATGACTGCTACCGCCTGGGTGAGGCGGGAGGGAGTGTCAGACTCTTACTGACTAAAAACCACCCCGTTCCTTCTCCTGCACGTCGAGCCGGAGCCCCGGTTACCCGTTAGATTCTCCGCGACTCCGAATCGGCATCGGCCCTATTGGGCCCCATCTGTGGTGGTCTGATGGCTCTTTGAGGCGCGCGCGGAACTCGACGTGCCGTACTCTCGGGTTTGTCAAGGAAGGCTATAGGCTATATAACGTCACGCTACGATCAATGGGTGCCTAGCAGAGCGGGTGACACCGCGTGGGCCCAGCTAGAATTTTTTACACATGATATTTCAAATCAGTATATCGAAAATACAATCAAATCGATAGTATTTGATTCCATAAGAAAAGAAATAATACATGTATAATGTTTTAAAATAATCTACCAGACGGACATTAAAACGAAATATATTCACCCTAGTCCTGGTAATTCCTAAGTACTCAGTGTGAATCTTATTTTGGCTTTCTTCTCAGAAGTACATACCTACCGTGTCTCATGGAAAATTCCAATTCGTAAGGAGGATGTCCAAAAAAACCAGCGTCAATTACAATTCATTGAAATGAATAATATAAAAGACTTCAGGTTAAAAGGTCGCAATTATCTTATTAGTATCGGCCATACCGGGCCAGCAGCATGCAGCGTACTAGAGGACAATAGAGTAGATGACTAAGTTTTATTTCAATGTCCGTCTGGTAGATTATTTCAAAATATTAGGCAAGATTTGTTTTATTTTCTTACAGAACAAATGCTTTCGACGATATATTGATTTGAAATATCGCATGACGTCACTTCTAGGTACGTTCGTTTAAATGACGTAGCTAGTTCCCACTCCTTTCTCCTCTTTCGACGATGGATTGATTTGAATTGTCGCATGACGTCACTCCTAGGTACGTTTTATACGTAGAAATGACGGAGCTAGCTCGTACTCCTTTATCCAACTTTGATTAGTTTTTTCCAAGTTTTGTTTTCTTATACGACAAAATGTAATACGTGTCTAACATTTTTTAGTTACCTAACTGACGGAATAAATAGATTTTTAAAGGCGAATGGCAGAATTCGTACAACATACTTTCTTGTTGTTCCTGATACAATTTGTACCACTTGAGGCAACTGAACCATACATTTTTATGTAACACTAGCTTTTACCCGCGGCTTCGCTCGCGTCACAAAAGGATAAAAAGTAGCCTATGTGACATATACCAATACACACAGTGCCATCTATACCAATAATTTCGTTTTCCCTCGAAAATATCAAATTTTTCGGGGATAAAAAGTACCCTATTATTTAATCCAGACTTCTAACTTTACGTCTGCAAAAATTCAAAGCAATCGGTTAAGTAGTTATTAATCGTGAAAGCGGAACAAACTCACTTTCCGATTTATAATATTAGTAAGGATTATTATTTTTAAAAGTTCGAATTCATCAAAACGACTATACCTATTATGTTTCCAAAGAAGTAAGGATGTCTAGACAAATTTATTGATGTTCTTAGCTTCGTTGCAAGATAAATGTCCTAAAATTAATTTTTTACCTTCCTACTCTATCTCCTTTAGAAATATGAAGGAAACTCGCCATGATAGATGGTCACCCATCCACAGATCAATCTCGGCAAGGATTACTTAACCTTGGCGATTGATACCTACAATCTTCTCTACTACCCTATACTATATGTACGTACATATATTAATATATTCTATTATTCTACCTTAGAAATAATATAAAGATCTTGTAAAATATCCATATGGAATATCTTAGATTCATCATCATCATCATATCAGCCACAGGACGTCCACTGCTGAACATAGGCCCTGGAATTGTAGTAGGAAATGTGCGAAGTTTCGGACGAAAAAATTCGTTTTTCGTCGAATCAGAGTAGTACTCTTTGCGAGCTTTGCGAGCCGTGCATGGTGGGGAAGGTAATGAACTTCCTCATTATTGGGGACGTGTATAGAGCCATGGATACATCAAAGATTGTGTATCTTATGACATCTAACTGCCTTATCAAGCTCATCAGATACGAAAGAATATATAGTTGAAATAAAAAACTGCGTTTAAACTGTCAAACACCAAGCGCTCACCGGTGACCGCAACCTATTGTTCTATAATTGTGTCTATAATGACGGTACTCGACTAGTTAATTAATCACTATTTATGTTTTGATATTTATCCCATGCAATAGGGGATGAGCCTAGTAGCTTGTCTAATCTAGCAAACTGGACTCATCCGGGCTGCTATCCTGTAGGACTGTTGGAGTAAATAAAATATATACTTATAAAAATGTATAATTTATTTGTACTTAAAATGCAGTTGGGAATAGAATTAGGCACAATTACGCAATATTAAACTTATAATTTCTAATCAATTTTAAACTTATAATTAGAAATTATAAGTTTAAGTAATTATAATTAGAAATTATAAGTTAATTAGAAATAAACTTATAATTACTTAAAATTTCTAATTATAAGTTTAAAATTGCCTTGAGCAAGCGTGGTGATTAATGCTCAAACCTTCTCCCTGTGCGAAGAGAGAGGCCTTTGGTCAGCAGTGGCCCTTTATAGGCAGTTGGTGATGGTGTATCCTGAAAATTTTACTCTTTTATTATTCATCTGAGTCTTGCAGACATGTGTCTCCAATTCTTATCATTCCTTCTGGACAACCATAGCCAGCAGTAATCACACAAGCATCCATACCAGTCGCTTCTTTTCTACACTTGTCATATTTTACAGTATTATTATATCCCGGTTTCGTTGTGTTGAAAACCGGGTAGCCAGTGTTATTCTGAGCAGGTCTCGTCCAAGGTGCATTGGGAGTTGGCCTGTTTTGCTGTGCCGGGTAGCCGGAATAGTTACCCGGATTTTGAGAATACCCGGGTAGCGTAGGGTAAAGAGAATTAACATTACTTTGCTGTGGATACGATGCGGGGTATCCTGAATAGTTCCCTGGGTATTGTGTAGGATTTAAAGGCTTGTTGTTTGACTGTGGAGCCGGGTAACCGGAATAATTACTCGTATACTGGGAATATCCGGGTGGTGTTGGGTATAGAGGCTTAATGTTACTTTGCTGTGGCTGCGGTGCTGGATACCTGGAGTAGTTAGCTGGGTATTGAAAATACCCGGGGTATATAGGGTTTACAGGCTTGTTGTTAAAACCCGGGTAGTTGGTGCTGTTGTTCTGAGCTGGTCTTGTCCAAGATGCACTAGGGTTTGGTATGTTACTTGGCTGTAAATTCGGCGAAGGATACCCGGAGTAATTACCCGGGTATTGATTATATCCGGGCGGGTTAGGGTAAACAGGTTTGACGGTGCTAGGATTTGCGTTATAAGGGTAATATCCAGGTTTGCTGTAATTGTAATTTTGTACCGGATTCACATAATGTTGCGTTGTATTCTGGCTATATCCGCTAAAATTGCCAAAGTTACTCTGCCTCGGTAAATTTGCCTTGTTTTGAGGTGCAAAATACCCAGTTATGAATCTCTTTACCCGGTTCGTATTGATTTCTTGGTCTGTAATAGTTTTAACGATGTTCTGATCTTGTCCATTGTGGCATTGAGATATCGTTATACTTAAAGCGATTATTGCAAGCCATGTCGTCCACATAATGATTCCTTGAGGCTTCAATTCTTGGTACAGATTTTTTTATTTAATTTCACTGTTAATTTAACTTCGAAAAAATTGTATAATAATGATATTTTGAACAAATGTAAAACGACTTTAGTTTCAGAGTTTATCAGAACACTGTTTTCGAAATTTTATATTGAAGCACACCAAAGGGTTTAGAGCGGCTTCGATTCTTGAGTTGTAAAAGTCTTATTGATTGTCATTGTCACTGTGTATTTGAAGTTACAAAATACTATTTATTAACACAATATTTTAATATGTTGTCTCGTAACGGTCGCTACTGTTTTTACATATGACAGTGCTATCACTGGTCAGTCCATGTAATACCTAATTTTATACATTATATTATATTCTTAGTATTTATTATTATCTTATTCAAGTAATATAAGGCTGAAGAGTTTGTTTGTTCGTTTGAACGCGCTAAGCTCTGGAACTACTGGTTAAAGAAAGAAAGAAAAAAAATATATTTGGCAATTAGCACATAAACAAAATATTAATAATAAACTTAAAAGTATAGAGAAAAGAACAAAATACATCACAGTACTACAAAATAATGTACAATACGATAATAACAGAAATTAAATATACAAAAAAAAAACAAAATATCAAAGTGCGCGTGCCCAGGACAAAAGGGCCTCCACCTCAGCATATAGTTGAGCGTTCCTGCCCAACGCTGGTTTTCAGGCGGCACCCTGCAGTGACTCACGGACGGCGGTACCGCCCCTCAATAAGGAAAAGGTTCAAATTGAATAATTCTTTTGGTGTTAGATGGTATCTCCGGAACAAATTGAATAATTAATCTGGTGTTGGATAGTCCATTTATCGAGGAAGACTATAGACAAAACATTACGCTACAAACAAGGAGCTACTACTTAGTTTTTTCTAAAACTGAAAACCAGCCTAGTCGAAGACCTTTTTTAAGAATGGACAATCATCTAATGACTGCTCATGCGTTGGGTGAGGCGAGAGAGAGTGTCAGACACTTACTGACTAAAAACCACTTTGTTCCAACTCCTACCACGAGCCGAACTCTTGGTAACGTGGATTATCTGTACTCATAATTCGTAATGATCAACGAGGTGACAAATTAAGCAACCAAAACCGCAGGATTCCACTCGTTTTCAAAGCTTATCAATTCCCACTGAAAGGTTATCGTACTCGGGTCAAACCCCGTAACAACGAAGTGTTACGAAATTCCTGCTAAAATACCAAGTGCACAGATGTGTGGCAAAATCCCCAGGCTTGCTAATTTGCTTGGGGATTGCAATTAGGTTGTAGACTTGGTTACTTCATGATGCATATTCCACCCGAACCAAGCGCTTTGCTTCAAGCTTCCTTGTGCGAACCGGTAAGGAGTGGCATTCTTTGCCAGAGTCGATGTTTTCTGAAGGGTTATAACCTGGGAGTCTTCAAGGCCCGAGTGAATAGGTTGCTTGTGTGAGCGTGTTCCAGCGTAAGACGCTTCGCGGTGTACCACCAGCCGAGATACTGGACAAACGTCAACCCTTTGCATTCTTCTCGGTCGCTTGCTTCATTTCTGAAGATCGTGCCCCTGAAATGCTTTCATTGCTCTCTGTGTTATTTCCCTCCATCTTGTCCTGTTTTTAGCTTCTCTCCGGGCTTTCGTAACAGAGAGTCCAGTGTAATTGGTAACTTGGTCACACCATCGGCTAGGTGATCGGCCACGTTGTCTTTTTCCTTCCATCTTACCAAAAACAATTTGTCGAGAACACAAGGAATAAACCCTTTGCATATATGTATGTATAAAAAGAGCACGTCAGTCACCGTGTCGGGTCAAAGATCATCTATTGGGTGTAAAGACATTTTAGGAGAGATAAAGATTGTCTCGTTCGTCGAGTGGTCGCGAGCGCAACTCCCAAGAAAACAATCTTGGATTCATATACCGGGTCAAGTAAACTACAAAGGGGCGTTTTCGGGTTTTCGAAAATTCTCAGTGGTAGCTTAGTGGTTAGAATCGTGGCTGGTATATGACAAGAAATATAGTGGAGGTTTAAGACGTGCGCTTCTCATACATGAGGGTGTGGATTTAAAAACCTATCAACGGCAACTACCAATGGAACTTATATGTACTTTCAAAAATTATTTAGACTCCACTGACAAACGAAGAAGGAAAATATCGTGAAGAAACCTAGGCTTATAATTTCTAATTATAGGTTCGAAACCGCCAATCGCATGAGCAAACGTGGTGGTTTATGCTCAAACCTTCTCAAAGTGAAAGAGGCCTTTGGTCAGCAGTGGCCACTTATAGGATGTTGGTCGGGACAATGATTAAAAATTAATACACGTTCAAAAAATATATTTAATAATAAAATACATGAATCTTCTTTCTTTCTTTCGTTCTTTCTACTTGCAAAACCAGGAGGGCTACAACCGCGTTGCTGGACCATTAAAAAGCCATTGCGGACATGTCCAAGCGGTTGGACATTGTGACGTTTTAACCCGTTGAAAAACATCCCCTAAATTTGTTCATACAAAAGTAAAGTAGTCTCTAAACATTGGAAATAAGGTCTATAATGTAGTTAGTGGAGAGCGGTCACCGGTGACCTCTTGGGGATATATGGGATAACACTTGTTTTCTTGCATTAGCTTCTGCCAGCAACTTCAGCGACGGACCCGTGGCCGATGGGCTGCGATGGGCCCGAAAAGTGGCTTTTGTTATTACAGACCTTAATCCACCCCAGTTCCAAATGTCATTCTGATCCCTTCAGTCGTTTTGACGCGATTGAGTAACAAATTTAAGTGTGGGAGAGCCATGCTTCGACACGAATGGACAGGCTCGACCGGAGTGATACCACGGCCTCACAGTAAACCGACGTGAAGCAACGCTTGCGTTGTGTTTCATCGTGTGAGTGTGATTACCGGAGGCCCAAATCCCTCCCTCCTTCCCCAATCTCCCCATTCCCAACAAACCTAAAACTCCTAATCCCCAAAAGGCCTGTAACGCACTTGTAGCTCCTCTGGTGTTCTGGGTGTCCATGGACGGTGTCGATTGCTTACTCTGCTGGTTTACCGGCTTAATACATAGAAAAATACACACATACAAACTCACTATCGTTCATACGATTGTTCAGTTTCATTCGATATCGTATTCAATATATTTTGCTTTGTCTATACACTGCCCATTATATTTTACCATGCCATCTGAGCATTCGCCGTTACCAATTACAATACTGTACATGACCTTTGTCTTGTTTTGTTGTCTTGTGGTCATACGCAAATTATGCTTAGAACTGTTACCGGGTTTCTCAGTCTTGTTATTCTTTGCTGGTTGTAACAAAGACGCATTAGCAGTTGGCACGTCCTTAATCCGTGTTGGATAACCGGAATTGTTACTCGGGAATTGTGTATATCCGGGTTTAGTTGTGTTAGAAACTCGGTAGGCAGTGCTCACTCCCTCCCGCCTCACCCAGGCGGGAGCAGTCATTAGATGATTTTCCCCACTTAAAAAAAAAAAAAAAAAAAGCCAGTGCTATTATTCTGTGCTGGTTGTAACAAAGATGCATTGGCAGTTGGCACGTTCTCAATCCGTGCCCAATAGCCGGAATTGTTGCCCGGGAATTGTCTATGTCCGGATTTTGTTATGTTAGAAACCGGGTAGCGACTGCTGTTATTCTGAGCACGTTTTGGTGAAGATGCATTATGAGTTGGTGAACTGTTATGTGGTCGTGATAATAGTGCTTGATTTTTGGAATATTTACCCGAATATTGTCTATATCCAGCAGTTGTAGAATAAACCGGTTTAATGTTGCTTGTATTTACATTATGTAGATAATATCCGGGTTTGCTGTAATTGTAATTTTGTACCGAACTCTTGTAACGCTGTGTTGTATTGTTTCTATTAAATCCGGGTGTTAAAACATTATATCCGTTCGTTTTGCTCTGGGTGGTAAGATATCCGGGTTTATTTGGATAACCTGTTCCGGTTACAAAACTCCTTACCCGGTTCGTGTTGATATCTTGGTCCGTAAACGTTTTAACGATATTCTGATCCCGTTCATCGTGACATTGAGATGTCGTTATAGTTAAAGCGATTATTGTAAGCAATGTTAACCACATAACGATGTCTTCCTGGTTCCGTTGCTTCGATTCTTGATTTGATGCAGATTTTGTCTGTTAAGTGAATATTGAAATATTTTATTATTGTCACTGTGTTTGAAGATATTAAGTACTGTTTTAAAAATTACTACAGTTGGACTTGCAGCGTTCACTACTGCAGTTATTGCATGTATGACAGCACTCTGCACTGGACAGTCCATTTAATACTTAGTTTTCGTTTATTATATAACATCTACTACTCTACAAATATAGTAATTTAAATTTGAATAGGAATCTTACCACTATCTCGCTATTTACTTATTAGTTCCAGTATTAATAATGTTTGTTTCCTTGTGTCCATATTAGTTTTGTTCTGTTTGTTTGCATACTGTTTTTTATGGCATAAGCCGGTAAACGAGCAGACTGGTCACCTGATGGTAAGCAATCGGCGCCGCCCATGAACACCTGGGACACTAAGGCGTTACAAGTGTGTTACCGGCCATTTGGGTATTGAGGATTTGAGGATTGTGTAGGATTGTATTGGGGGGGGGGGTAATTGGGTCTCCTGTAACCGCACCCACACGACGAAACACAACGCAAGCGTTGTTTCACGTCGGTTTTCTGTAAGGCCGTGGTATCGCTCCTGTCGAGCCGGCCCATTCGTGCCGAAGCATGGCTCTCCCACAATTCGATCTGTGCTGACATAGTAGAATACATATAATACCACCCGTACTCTTCCCGCGGGTGTCGTATACCCGACTAACGAATTGACAGAGATCTGGCAGCAGCGCCTTTCTGATAAACCTGCACCATTGAAACTGCGGTTCCAACCCAGCCAAGCGGGCGAGGTGACAGTCCACTCCTGGATTATAGATCTATTGTCCAGCAATGGTGTGTTATATCCGCAGCCTTCCTTTCTTCCTTAAATGGTTGGTAACAGCACTGTAACGCCTCTAGTGTTCCGTGTCCATGGGCGACGGCGATTGCTTACCATCAGGTGATCCGTCTGCTCGTTAAAAACTTAAACAGGATTTTGTTATTTTACGCAACTTATTTTACATAACATCATCACACGGTTTACTATCCCCGAAGGGATAGACCGAGGTGCACATTACGGCACTTAATGCTACTGTACAATGTAACAACCAAATTTCACAATTTATGTTATGAGTCCAATGTAATAGGGGGTTCTATTACCATACATCAGGCACGATGCCAGACTCCGTACTACTACTGAGATTTTTTTTAAAACCCCCTTAATACTTTGCCCTATTCGAGAATCGACCCCGAGACCCTTGGCCAGCAGTCGCACTTGCGACCCCTCGGCCAACGAGGCAGTCTTATTATTTTATTGTCATGCAGACTAAACGTGTGTACAAAATTTCAGCTCAATCGGTTGAAGATATCTGCTTCAACATTCAGTTGCAAGGTTCCGCTTCACACACACACGTACATACATTACAAGTTAAATTAAAGCTTGTAAAAAAGCGATCAAAACCATATACTTTCACTTGTCTTTATTTACATATTATAATTATGGACAGAGCTTATCTTCCTCGCCGCATTTGGCAAGCATGCACCACTGGAATTCCCATTTTGAAATAGTTATACAAGCGATAGTTTGTTTTGGTACTCTTAACACAATAATGGATGTTTACTTAAGCCAAAAATAATTTTCCTGTGTTTAAAATACCGTCTTTACCATGAAGGCCCGTGCCCAGGGCCCCCATACACAGGGGCCTCGAATGACTGACAATAGGGTAGATGCCTAATTTGTATTTCAATGTCCATCTGGTAGATTATTTTAAATCATTAGACACGTATTTTTTATTTTCTTACAGAAATGAATACTTTCGACGATATATTGAATTGAAATGTCGCGGACGTCACTTCTATATACATTTTATACGTAGAATTGAGGTTTTAGCACCCACTCCTAAACTTTGATTCGTTTTATCCAAGTACATATTATTTTATTATACGACAAAATAAATAAAATGCGTGTCTAATATTTTTTCATTATCTAACTGACGGACTAATTAGATTTTTAATTTTCATACCCTGTCATCATCCCAATTCTACGACGGACACACAGCCGCTACACGTTGCGCGGCAACCGCATGCCTCGCAATGTTTACCGGGTACAATTCCCGCACGGAACACATCCTTGTGTGATCCACAAATTGTTGTTTCGGGTCTGTGTGTGATGTGTGAACTTGTATGTTTGCAAACGCACCCACGATACAGGAGAAAATCCTAGTGAGGGGGGCCCCTAATTACTGTGTGCCTAAGGGCCCCAGCGTATTCGAATACGGCCCTGTGTGTTGATTCGTACTTGGGAGCGTCCTGCTTTGCCAGGAATGGGCCCGCTCGACCGCAGTGATACCACGGCCTCACAATACACCGACTAACAACGCTTGCGTTGTATTCATCTGTGTGAATGGTATTATCAAGGCTCCAATCCTTCCACGCTCATCCCCAGTCCCCAAAACCAGAGATGAACATTACGGCACTTATGCCACTGTACTGTACAATCCAACACCCACTTTTCACTATTTAAGTTATGAGTCCCGTGTAATAGGGAGCGAGTCCCCAAAACCATGGCAGTGAAATTGTTTCTCCTCTAGTATGGTCAGTATCCATGGGCGGCGACAATCGCTTACCATCATATAATCTGTCTGCTCGTTGGTCGTTCTATCTAAAATAATGGTTAATTTTAAATTACATTACTAAATAAAAAAACTGATTTCAAAAACGAAACAAACGAAAGGTAAAATCTAAAAAGCAAAAAATAACTATTATTGGTCATACGTACTTACACACCTATAGCTTACACACCCACTGATAGGTGAGAAGTCGGTGCCACAAGTTTTACACAAAATTATTCATTAAAATCGTAATAGATATCTACCATTATTAAGCTGTTTACAATTTTATGTGGATTATACCTGTGACTATTACCTACCTAAGATATAATTTTTTGTTTATATGGGTTTATAACAAACGTTCCCCTCGGTTTCCCTGGGATTCCATCATCAGATCCTGACTTCATGACAATGGGACCAAATGACAAACCTACCCTTTCAAACAAAAAAAAATGTTTGAAATCGGTCCAGGCGTCTTCGAGTAATCGAGTAACTAACATAATAAAAAAACAGTCGAATTGAGAACCTCCTCCTTTTTTTTGAAGTCGGTTGAAAATAAATGTGAGTTGCGTTCCTATGAGAGTGTGGCTTCGTAATCTGACAAGTACCAATGTGACTTTATCCTAGATACTTTCTAAGATTATATATACACCACTGACAAACGATGAAGGAACACATCGTGAGGAAACCTGGCCTTATAATTTCTAATTATAAGTTTGTAATCACCAACCCGCATTAAGCAAGCGTGGTGGTTAATTTTCAAACCTTCTCCGTGTGAGAAGAGAGCCTTTGGTCAGCAGTGGCCACTTATAGGCTATCGATGATGATGATGATGTAACAAATGTTTCTTGCTCGTTCTTCTCCAGTCGAATCTACATTTTGGAATGAGCACCTAGCTTCACTGACAGACAGACTGACAGACTATTATTTATTTTGTATTTGTTGACGTTTCTAAAGTACCAAATTATGGTTTCATTGTAATAAATGCTTTGACTTTGACTTTGATGATGATTCCTAAGTAATTCTTTTGTTTGGTTACAGCCGAGCCGTTGAAGCCGACTTATATGCCGGTGTTTCTGACGAAGAAGGAAAGAAAGAAGCTGCGTCGACAGAGTCGCAGGGAGGCGTGGAAGGAGGAGCAGGAGAAGGTCAGACTTGGGCTGGAAGCACCGCCCGAACCAAAACTCAGGTGAGGACAGAACTTTATAGGGGATAATATCATCCATGTAGAAAGGATGAATGAAAGCGGATTTACGAAAGAATTATACAGAACGGATATGAATGGGATTGTCGTTAGAGGGCGCCCTAGACGGCCGTACATCGACCAGATTGGCGATCTATTGAAGAAGGGCCAAACTGAAGGACTGATGACTGTAGATGAAGCGAAAGAGGTGTGTTAGAATCGTAGCAATTGGGGTTCCAAAGTCTCTGCCCACCACAATGAGAGATATGCGTGAGATTATGTATGTATGTGTGTATGTTATATCATCCAATTACTTGCCTTCATTGCCACACTTGACAAATTGGTTCTTTTTTATCGGATGAGCCGGTAAACGAGCAGACGGAACACCTGATGGTAAGCAATCGGTGCCGCCCATGGACACCTGGAACACCAGAGGCGTTACAAGTGCGTTACCCGCTTTTTGGGAATTGAGAATTTGAGGATTGTGGGGGATTCGGGGATTGGGGAGACTGGAGAGGGGGGGGGGGGTGTAGTAAACACAACGCAAGCGTTGCTTCACGTCGGTTTTCTATGAGGCCTGGGTATCACTCCGGTCGAATCGGCCTGACAGTGCCGAAGCATGGCTCTCGCACACTTAAAACGGGTTGGAACTCGCAGTTTGACAAATCAAGTTTATTCAGAGAACGCTGCTATCCTATCTCTATTATTAGTTGGGTATACGACACCCACTGGAAGGTGGTGACGAATCTAGTCGACACTGATATCACCACAATATTTTGCAAGTTTTCTCTTGCAGGATATCCAACTTGATGAGAGCTCTGGGCTCTTGAAGGTCCGGGAGCAGATCGCCCAGAGGCAGAAAACTCATTTGGAGGCGAACAAGGCGCGAGCTCTTACGAAAGATCAGAAGAGAGAGAAGGTAAGCTATCCACTTTATGAACACGGTTTTAGTAGGTCGACCTGTGAAACTGACTGCCGTTCTCAGACATGAATGATAACTTAAATTATTCCTCAGTAACGCTTATCTGTACTGAAAACAATTGGGTAGACGACTAATTTGTATGTCAATGTCCATCTGGTAGATTTTCTTAAAACATTACACACGTATTTTTTATTTTCTTACAGAAACAAATACTTTTATAGATATATTGATTTGAAATATCGCGTGACGTCACTTCTATGTACGTTTTATACGTAGAAATGACGTAGCTAGCGGGACTCCTAATCTTTGATTCGTTTTATCTAAGTATTGTTTTCTTATACGACATAATAAATAAATATGTGTCTAATATTTTTTTATTAGCTAACCGACCGAGGGATTTATTTGATTTTTAATTTCCATACCCTGGCCACTACCCTATCGTATGTAGATTATATCATCAACAGCCTGTTTCCATCCACTGCTGGACATAAGCCTCTCCAATGGCACGCCACTGAGCTCGATCTTCAGCTCTACGCATCCAACCACTACCAGCTACTTTGCGGATATCGTCACTCCACCTAGCTGGAGGGCATCCTACACTACCTTTGCCTAAACGCGGTCTCCACTCCAGAACACGTCTCTTACCTTTAACAGTTTTCAATTGGCAGTCAAAGGCTTAATCAAAGAGTTTTTTTGTAGAAGCACTATTTTATATGAATTGTCAGCATACATATGTGAGCACCATGTTAGACTATAATTATAATTATATTTCTTTTCTCTTTGTTTTGTTTTTATTTTATTAAGTTCTGTAATTTGTATAATGCGTCAAGCGTGTCTTTGCATTGTTCTCACATATACGTAGATACAGTATTGAAATATGTATCAGAGACATTGTAGAACATACTTTTTTAAAAGAGTAACGAATGGAGTTTCTTGCTTATTCGTCTCATTTGAATCTACATTTTGGAATGAGCACCTAGCTTCACCTAGCTTCACTGACGGACTGACTGGCAGACTATTATTTATTTTGTATTTGTTGACGTTTCAAAAGTACCTATCAAAAAATAAATGCTTTGATTTTGACTTTATAATAAATGCGAAAGTTTGTGAGTGTGTACGTTTATTACTTGTGAGATTAAATGTCCCCAAACAATATAGTTTGACAACCATCGACAGCGATGATGACGTAGACATGTGTCAGCCCCGTGACTACTGTGTCTCAATTGTGTTATCCACAAATGGGGTAGACGACTAATTTTTATTTTAATGTCCGTCTGGTAGATTATTTAAAAACATTAGACACGTATTTTTTATTTTCTTACGGAAACGAATAGTTTCGAAGATATATTGATTTGAAATGTCGCGTGACGTCACTTCTCAGTACATTTTATACTAAGAAATGACGTTTTAGCCCCCACTCCTAAATTTTGATTCGTTTTATCTAAGTATTGTTTTATTATACAACAAAATAAAAAAATACGTGTCTAATATTTTTTTATTACCTAAGTTACGGACTAATTAGATTTTTAATTTTCATACCCTGTCATCATCCCCATTGTTGTTTCGGGTCTGGGTGTCATGTGTATATGAACTTGTATATAGGTAACTGGGTAACACCCACGACACAGAAGATAATCCTAGTGTGGGGCAACGGTAGAAATAGAAACATTCCGAAAGGGCCCCGAATATTGTGTGCCCAAGGGCCCCAGCGCAGTGTAAGACGGCCCTGGTTCTGTCTTTCTTCTTTCTTTCAATTTCCGCGCGATATTATCCATTTTGTAATCGACAAGTAATTGTCCCGGGTATGTGTGTAAAATTGTAGGTTTGTTCAAATCAAACGTGACTTTTGAACGTTATTTAAATCATTCTCTTACATTTCTCATTCGGTGTCTAAGGGCTCCGGTCAAGCTCGAAACTAATCGAACTGACCCGTAATATTTCACGAATATTATCTAATTGCCTGATTACTTATTCCAGACTGATGCTGCACAGTATAAACTGGGAGGAGGACATGGTGAAGAACGCGGAGGGTAACAAGGTCCCCAACAGTTGTAGCCTTGTATGGGAGGGGATCGTCAAGCAGAGGGCCTTCGGAGATGTCAAGTTTAAGGTATACAACTAATGTTCTTGTGTTTGTATGAATATAAGTGTGTCTTTCATGAAATATGTAATGGCAGTATGGGAGAGCCATGCTTCAGCCCGAATAGGCCGGCTCGACCGGAGTGATACCACGGCGTCACAGAAGTCCGACGTGAAACAATGTTTGCGTTGTGTTTCGTCGTGTCAGTGAGGTTACTGAAGACCTAATTACGCTCCCTCCCCTATTTCCAAATCCTTGAATCCCCAACAATCCGCAAATGCTTAGGCCGGTAACGCACTTGTAACGTTTCTGGTGTTCCGAGTGTTCATGGGCGACGCCGATTGCTCTCCATCAGGTGATACGTCAGCTCGTTCACCGGCTTATTCCATTAAAAAAAAATGAAGAAACTACTTGGCAAATTTTAATGGAATTTGGTACAGAGACGTTATAAATTTCTTCATGTGCCTATTAGAGACCGGCGTGATACTACCGCAGCGTGGTTTCACGACTGTACCCGTGTGGCCGTGGTATCACTCCTCGAAGAAGTACCGTAGCTTGAAAAGCATTGTAATCTTTGTTCCAGGTGATGCCGACGCTCGGGAACATTTCCAGAAACATCGCGTAGAACATTATTGGGACCTTGCCTACAGTGGCGCCGTGCTGGCGCCCACTGACGAACCTTAGCGCCCTGTGACCAAGCCTGGCGCCTCTTGATGAACTCTAGCGCCCACTGACCAATATTGGCGCCCAATGACAAACCCTGGCGCCCACCGACCAACTCTAGCGCCCTAGCCTGTAAAGCGTTAATTGATATAAAAATAAATAAATACATTAAATTAAACCACTTGAAGTTTTGTTATTTTCAATAGCATTAGTTAAACGGTTTCATTTAGCTTGTCCCGTGTGTTTGTCTGGGTCTGTAGTAATTATATTTCCACATTTACCTTCCTGGCGACAGATCAACCTGATATTTAGTACACACTCTTAATCTTGATGACCATACAATATAATCTAATTGTTTCCACAACTACCTCCATTATGGATATCAAACGAAAGGGTTTGATTGGTAGAATAGAACTCGTTGAAACATAAAACATATTTTTTATATATTTATTTATTGAAATCAACACATTGTAACAGGTTACACCCAATGCGATAATGTTGTCACTCAATATAAAGACTTATAATTAACATTGTAATAACACAGCCATATTAATTGCACTCATCCATCAAGTAGAAGTAACAACATAGTCGTTCGTTACCTTTATGAACTCCATCAATGAGCAACACAATATGTGAATAAATTATTATGTTTTCGGCTTACTCACGTAATTATTTGACATGGTATGTAACTTGGTTTTTGCGTCGACCGGGATTCGAACCCAAGATCAACGCAGCTACCGGCGGCGCGCGTGAAACACGGGACGCTAGCCAACAGTGTCACGCGCGCCCCACGGCAGAGGGCGCGCTGGACCCGACCTCGCCGCGTCGTCGCGGGACGCGAAATGTTGCTCATGAATATGAGCCTCTAGCATGGCTCGAACCTAGTCGAGTTCCTCGTCTAATTATTACGTCAGTAAGCCGAAAACATAATAATTTATTTAGTATGTCTCACGAAAGTTATAATACAGACAATATGTACTTTTTGTCCAACGCTGTTAACACGGTAATAGTATCATACAGTTCTCCAACTTTATAGAAATGGACGAAACGCGAGCTATACCTACGCGCCTCGACGTCGGGGTGCGCTCGGGCACAGATAGTCATGTACAGCTGTACCGCAGTCATGAACGGACGGTGTGTTGGTTTTTAGCAATAACCGCGCGATTTTTCTCTAAATAGCAGTTGTAATACATATTACATATGATATAGGTGTTCCAAATTACATTGAAAAGTTGTACAGTTAAACAGAATAAAAGTATATAGTAACAGGGGGTGAGTCTAGTAGTTTTTTGATCGAGAAAGTTTGACTTATCAGGGTTCCTATCCTGTAAGACCATAGAAATAAATAAAATACATTCTTATAAAAATGTTTAATTTATTTATACTTCAAAATACAGTTACAATAGAATTACGATAACCAAAACCCAATAAGCGTGGTGATTAATGCTCAAGCAGAAGGTTTGTGCGAAGACGCCTTTGGTCGGCAGTAGCCACTAACAGGCAGTTGGTGATGGAGTATCTTGACTATTTTACTTTTTTATTATTCATCTGAGTCTTGCACACACATCTCACCAATTCTTGTCATTCCTTCCGGACAACCATTGCCAGCATTAATTGCACAAGCATCCATACCAGTCGCTTCTTTTCTACACTTGTCATATTTTACAGTATTATTATATCCCGGTTTCGTTGTGTTGAAAACCGGGTAGCCGGTTTTATTCTGAGCAGGTCTCGTCCGAGGTGCATTGGGAGTTGGTCTGTTTTGCTGTGTCGGGTAGCCGGAATTGTTGCCCGGGAATTGTGTATATCCGGGTTTCGTTATGTTAGAAACCGGGTAGCGACTGCTGTTATTCTGAGCAGGTTTTGGTAAAGATGCATTATGCTTTGATAATATGTTTTTTAGCCGTGGTAACGGTGCTTGATTTTTGGAATATTTACCCGGATATTGTCTATATCCAGCAGTTGCAGAATAAACAGGTTTAATGTTGCTTGTGTTTACATTATGTAGATAATATCCGGGTTTGCTGTAATTGTAATTTTGTACCGAACTCTTGTAACGCTGTGTTGTATTGTTTCTATTAAATCCGGGTGTTAAAACATTATATCCGTTCGTTTTGTTCTGGGTGGTAAGATATCCGGGTTTATTTGGATAACCTGTTCCGGTTACAAATCTCCTTACCCGGTTCGTGTTGATGTCTTGGTCCGTAATCGTTTTAACGATATTCTGATCCCGTTCATCGTGACATTGAGATGTCGTTATCGTTAAGGCGATTATCGCTAGCAATGTTAACCACATAACGATTATTCGTGATTCCGTTATTTCGATTCTTGATTTGATGCAGCTTTTTGAAATTAAATTTCACCGTAAAGTGAATAATGAAATATTTATTATTGTCACTGTTTTTCAAGATATTAAGTACTGTTTTAAAAATTACTACAGTTTGACTTGCAGCGTTCACTACTGCAGTTATTGCATGTATGACAGCTCTCTGCACTGAACAGTCCATTTAATACTTAGTTTTTGTTTATATTTAATGGGCCGACATTTGACCACTATCTCGCTAGGTATATACATATTAGTTTCAGTATTAATAATGTTTTTTTCCTTTTGTCCATATTAGCTTTGTTATTGACATTATAAAGAGAATATATTTGACTGTCTGTTTGCTTGTGTTGGTCCCACTACTAGACTTAAGAAAATAAGTGGTTCGTTTAGATGTCAGAGTATACGCTTTTACAATAAAATTCCCAGCCATATCCAAAATTTAAGTATAAATCAATTTAAAAATGTCATTATAGATAAAATTTATAGTAAAGCTATTTATAAAATAAAAGCATACCTAGATGATAGTCTGGCTTGGGAATAAACTGCTGTAATGTCCACACAGGTCTTTTTGACATGTTTGTAACATATAGTTACATGTGAATTTTTTAATTTTTTCGTCTACCTTGACATTTACTTTTTATTTTTACAATTGTTAGTGCTACGACTGTGCGAGACTTTGCCTCGCCATTTCTTTTCTAATTACCCATATTCTGACAGTTTGAGTATTTGTGCGACCCACCCAAATGTTCTTTAGGTTGGTATTGATCGTCGAATCAGTCAGCCTCACCTGTTAATTGAGCTGACTGTAAACTGACACATGCGTACTGCCTCCAGAACGGGTCCGCTCAAACTGTTGTGGTTCTTTCCTCAAAAGGCCACTACAGAAAGAACTTGCACGGTTCTCACACATAATCTGTTATACATATTGTCTGGACTTTAAAAGAGACGGACCTCTGAGTTTGTTTTGGCATTTCTTCTCAGAGTAGTCAGTTAGGAAATGTCGACCTCATCGTTCGCTTGATAAAATTGACGTGTAAAAGTGCTGCCCTGTAGCCTATTTGCAGAAACAAATTCACTTGATTCACTTGTTCGCATACTTCGATCCGTGATGGCATAGTATGGTACCACCCTACTATTCCCACGGATGTCATATACCCGACTAAGGGACTTTTGACAGAGATCAGGCAGCAGCGCTCGCTGATAAACCTGCACCCTTGAAACAGTGGTTTCCGACCCAGCCAAGCGGGTGAGGTGGCAGTCCACTCTTGGACTCCAGGTCTATTGTGCAGCAGTGGACTGTCATATCTCCAGCCTTCCTTATTCCCTTAAATGGTTGGTAACAGCACTGCAACGCCTGTAGTGTTATCCATGGGCAGCGTCGATTGCTTACCATCAGGTGATCCGTCTGCTCGTTTACCGCTCAGTTGCAAGATTCCACTTGACACACACACACACGTACATACATTGCAAGTAAAATTAAAGCTTGTAAAAAGCGAGCAAAACCATATAATTTCACTTGTCTTTATTTACATAATTATTATAATTATGGACAGAGCTTACCTTCCTCGCCGCATTTGGCAAGCATGCACCACTGGAATTCCCATTTTGAAATAGTTATACAAGCGATAGTTTGTTTTGGTACTCTTAACACAATAATGGATGTTTACTTAAGCCAAAATGATTGTCCTGTGTTTACAACTAGCTGAGCCGTACTTGTACTTCGTACCGCCTAACAGTCAATTATGTTGTCGTGTTACCGTTTAGCTGAAATAATTTAGGCTTTGATGAACGTAATATAATCACTACATCTTTATATATATAATTCCGCTGTACGTGTGTATGTCATTGAACTCCTCCTAAACGGCTTGACCGATTTAAATGAATTTTTCTGTATGCGTTTGAGTGGCGCCCTGAATGGTTTAGATTCACAAATCAGCCCGGCAGATGGCACTGCAGTTGTGTCTAGGTTAGTTATCCTAAACTGCTGAACTAATTTGAATGAATTTTTGTGTATACCTTCAAGTGGATATGCAGGACAACGTCTGTCGGGTCCGCTAGTATAGTATAAAACAAAGTCGCTATCCGCCGTCTGTCTGTCCCTATGTATGCTTAGATCTTTAAAACTACGCAACGGATTTTGATGCGATTCTTTTATAGATAGAGTGATTCTTAAGGAAGGTTTATATGTATAATACATGCATATTGGACCCGTGCGAAGCCGGGGCGGGTCGATAGTGATACAATATAAATATAAACATAGATAAATAAATAGGAAAAACCTACAGTTATTTGGTTAAGTGTCGGACAGACACCACTATCAAACTAGACATGAATAGATTAAGTCAACCTACTTTGAGATTAGCGGAAGTAAGTAAGTCGTTCATGGGATTCTGTGTTAAATGTTATAATAAGATACCAGGCGATGTACATACAACAACTAAATGAATCCAAATTTAAATTATGTATAAAGAAAACTTTATGTAGACAAGCATATTACAAACTTAATGAATATATTATTATAGAGGATAAAAATGCTTGGATACACAAACAAACTCACTTTCCGATTTATAAACATACATAACATCATGCCTTTTATCCTCGAAGGGGTAGGCAGAGGTGCACATTATACCACTGTACAATGTAACCCCCACTTTTCACTATTTATGTTATGAGTCCCATGTAATAGGGGGTGAGCCTATTGCCATATACCGGGCACATTTCCAGACTCCGTGCTACTACTGAGATTTTTATAAACCCAGTAATACTTTGCCCGACCCGGGAATCGAACCCGAGACCCCTTGCCCGGCAGTCATATATATATGTCGGAGAAAA